GATTAGAAAAATTATTGTTTTCAACCTGTTCAACAAAAAGGGAGTACCTCGCATAGTAGGAAGCTGTTTCAAACAATTCATTCGAAGTTAGAATCCTCAAAACATTAACTGTCTTCAGAGACGAATTGCTTAAAAGAGAAGCTGAACTGTAGAGGCAATTTCCATCTTCAGATGACCTTGAATAAAAAAAAAAAGTATACTAAACAAACTCAGTTTATATTAAATACTAGCTGGAAATATAAAATACCATTAACTTTAATAATAGGGTTTTACCTCAAACCAACATAATCTTTTAGTATCATCTTATGTGGCTAAACTGGACTCTTATTATTTAAAACTTTCAATTCTTCAGTCAACTGGTTTTTATATTTGCAAATATTTGGCAAATGTCTAGCCTTAATTGCATTTGAGACTAAAAGTTCCGTTTTTTTTTTTTAACTTAAGTTTACAAGCAAAGTCCAACAACGAAAATTACGAGCGAAGAACGTAATATCAGGCACTGATCTATATTATAACTGGATGGCGCATCTCTAATATCGGAAAAAATATTTTGGCTGCCATATTGTGAGGACCCACGATTTGTTATGATGCGCTTGAATTTTTAAGAAATAGTAAAAATCTGTTGTAAAATGTCTAACGAATGATCGTATTCTTTAGATAATTTATCTAGATTCTTATGTTGATATTTAAAAAGTATGATTATAAGTGCAAATTGAAATATAATACTCCTATAAGTAAGTAAATAATCTTTTTAAAGTTTTTACTTTAATATAAGAGTTAAAAAAAAATTCTATTTATTGTTGTAAATAATATATATATATATATATATATATATATATATATATATATATATATATATATATATATATATATATATATATATATATATGTATATATATATATATATATATATATATATATATATATATATATATATATATATATATGTACATATATATATATATATATAAAAAAGGTCCTCGTTTTCCAAAATTTACCGACTGCCATGACAACATTTGCCGACTAACTAGCCTAAAAGGGTCCAATTTGCCGACTAAAAATCATTGACACACCCCCTATTGCGCCGGGCTTCTATATATATACATACATATATATATATATATATATATATATATATATATATATATATATATATCTTATATACATATATATATATATATATATATATATATATATATATATATATATATATATATATATATATATATATATAATATATATATATATATATATATATATATATATATATATATATATATATTACTTTAATATATATAATATAAAATAGTTTTGTGTTTGTAAAAGTTATAGTTAATGATGATTTAATAATACCAATTTACTTAATGTTTTTCTTATATTTTTCCCTGACATTTTCTCAGTGGCTTGTTTTCCCAGATCATAAAGTCGAAATTTGCAATAGCATTGAGCAATTATTTTGTTTAATTTAAAAACATGATTTTCATTAATAGCAGTATCAAACATATGTTCATGCAAGTCTCTAAATAAAACAGATCCTAAACTTTTTAAAACTGAAATAGATATAACTTCTGGGATATTTTTGGAATAACATACATAATATTTGCTTTTTTTGCCATTTTAACAACGAAGCCCGATTTATAAGAAATAGCTGCTTTTTATACTCAGTTACGAATGAAATATTAGTTATAAAAGAACAATCATGATCAGTAGTCTTAGATGTTCTTTCAGATAAGACATATTTTCTTATTATGTTTACTGATGTAATATCCAAATTGCTGTTATTTATCATAACTGAGTCATCTAAGACATTTAAAATATTTTCTGCTTGTAATTTTTCACAACTTCTCCTCATTCAATATGGCTCCGAAGTAAAAGTCGCTTATATGCTGCAGTAAATTGTTGCGCTGTTCGGTTAATGTTAAATCCTCCTGATCCTCGGATTGAACCAAAAAATAACTCAAGATGGTCTTGACTTAACTTATATGTTAGAAGATATTTCAAAGGTGCTTTAGGAGTTTCAACAAGGTTATAAAATATCTAAATGTATAATATATATATATATATATATATATATATATATATATATATATATATATATATATATATATATATATATATATATATATATATATATATATATTATATATATATATATATATATATATATATATATATATATATATATATATATATATATATATATATATATATATATATATATATATATATATATATATATGTAACAGATACAATATATTTAACAATTTCATAAAGACACAATTTTAAGATATAAATATAACTTTACAAAATATTTTAACCATTAAAAATCCAATGAACCCAGTTTTTCTTCTTATTTCATGCAACAATCTATGAGATGAGTCTTGATATGTTCTAGTCTTAATTTATTTCCAAGACGTAATCCTTTTTTTTTTTTTGCGGTTTTTGAAGATAAACTAATGTTTCCATGAAATTGCATTGTTTTCACTATCAAACAAAATATCACCATCTGCGGAGCAATTCCGAATTAGCTTAAGCATGTGACAAATAACGAGGAGAGTATAAACTTTTTTATCAGAGTTGAGAGGATGGGTGAAAGAAGTGTTCATTTTGCAAGCATCAATTGAAACACCAAGGTCTGATAACATCAAAATGTGACATGAGGGACCATCACATGTTAGTGATATGACTTCTACACCGACATCTGTCAATCGTTTTACTATTTAACCTATCTATAAAAAAATATCCGCATGGAACTTTCCATGAACTGTTTATACTAACAGCCATGAGAACTAGGGCATCTTTTGCAACCGGAGATGAATCATCTTGTATGCCATTCCCAAGATCAACATACCCCTTAAATGCTTTTCCATCCCAAGATATGTGTTTTTTAATGGCCATTTCATCTAACATAAGTGAGCAAATGACTTTAGATCCTAATTTTTCAGCTTTTATAACCTTATATTTAAGTGCTGCAAAAACTGGCTTTGTAAAACCTGGTTCTGCTGAAACTTTTCCATACCATTTCTTAATTTGTGCTTGATGTGGTAAATTAAAATTAAATGTTTTTCGCACATAATCATAAGCTTTGCTTGAATAAAACTGCAGGGTAAGTGCAACGGATTTGATTTCTTCTGAATATTTAAATCCTTTACCATGATTTTTATGCATAATCATTCTTCTGGTTAGAGCCTGAAGAACTTCTGAAAATGTTTTTAAAAGCATTTCTTCACAATATGATATTTTTTGTTTTTGACTTAATATTTTTACTGCTGATTTAAAAGATGTTTTTTTTTTTTTCATTCTTTTTGCTGTTCCGCTTTTACTTTCTTTTTTAAAGACTCAACTATCTTCTTTCTACAATCTGTTATTTGTTTTTCTGCAGTTAAACTGCAGTTATATATTTTTTTGGGGGAGCCAACTTTCATGCTGAAAGGTATAACACTTGTTTCCAAATCACTTTTTTCAGAATTTTCAAAAGTTGACCTAATAACAGGAACTTTTCTCTCTTTCATATTCTAATAATAAAAGAAAAAATAGATATTTATATATAGCTGTATAATTTTTATATTAAACATTATATCTAACTAGAAGGAACCTCTAAGTTGTGTTTACTCACAGAGCTTAGCTAATAGTTCATGCAGCATTTATAAAATAAAAGCATACAATAGCAAAATGGTCATTATATATTTTAGCTGCTTACCATACAGTTCTGTTATAAACCCTCTAGCACACTGCATAGGGTAATTAAGAACTAAAAGATACATATTGAACAAACCTGTGCAATACATAAAAACATAATCGAACATATACCTTTTTTAAGTGGTCAGGGAATTTTTTAAATCTTTTAGGAAAATAATTTTCCCTTAACCTAACAGTTTGTCCAGTTCTGTCAATATCTTTTTCTAAAAAATGATCAGAACATATCAAACTGCTACTACTTGGACTCCATTCTTGACGGTGTAGTTTGATGGTCTATTCCTTTCTTTTTTTCAGTGTTTGAAGGAAATCTGAATAAAAGTAGTATGAAAAATAATGTTTGATATTTCATTAAATTTGTTATACTTTTTGCACAACTGATATTATTTAAATCTGCATGTTCACATTGCAAGCAAACTAACAGAGGTCAAAAAATTTGAAAATATTTTTTTTTAAAAAGTTAAGAAAGTTACCTATGAATGTTCTAAGAAACATTCGTTTTAAAGATGATTCTTCATCAGAGATTCCATCACTATCACTTCTTTTACTGCCACCATGTTTTCTTTTATTGCAACCAAATGCAACACATTGTGTCCCTCGCTTTTTGGTATTTTCTCCAGACATTTATAGAATAATTATTTTACTGAAAAATAAATATTATTATTTAAAAAATTCATTAATAATTTTCCAAACGATTTATCTATGTTAAATTCAAAAAAACATAAAGTTAAACACCAAACTAAGGAAATAGCTTGTTCACCTAACAATATTTTAAATAAATAGTTTTTCTCCGTGGGTCCTTCCAATATGGCGCTGACGAAAAAAGTTTGACTTCAAAAATTACGTTGTTTCCTTAAGAGATGCGCCATCCAGTTATTATATAGATCAGTGATTTCAGGTGGTATATCAGAATTTTGTAAAATTTAAACAATTTGGAGCAACTGATGCAATTGTTCTAAACTTTCTACAAATTTGATTGGTTATAAATAACATTTCTTATCTTTTTTGTAAAGTTTTTTGCGGATGTTTTGTAGCAACTAATGCAATTGTTACTTTATTAAATAGTGATTGGTTTAAACTGTTTTTTAACCAACCATTAATGATTTAGAGTACAATTGCATCAGTTGCTACAAAGTGATCGGAAAAATTTGTGAATAAGTACAAATATGATTGGTTAAAACGTACTTTTTTTTTTTTTTAAACCAATCACATTTGTTTGGGAGTTTTTAAAACGCCGAATTCTAAAAAGCCGAAACGCCGAAAAACCTTCTAGGAGAAACTGAATAAAAAACGGAATGAAAGCA